GGCCATCTTGGACGGTGCCCAGACAGGAAGTGCCGCCCCATGGGCCACTCGCGCTCTGTCAGCGGCCATCTTGGACGGTGCCCAGACAGGAAGTGCTGCTGTCTCTCATGGCATGGGCTTTCTGAAGCCCGGATGCCTGGGTCCCCCGACTGCCCTGGGGCTTTGAGAGGTGCCCAGCTTGTCCCCCGCTCCCACCAGCCGAATGGATCGAGGACCTGCTTGTAATCCTCCCCCTCCAGGTGCCCAAGGAGGAGGCGCTGGCCTTCGCCCAGGAGAATCACATCCCCTACATGGAAGCCTCGGCCAAGATCCGCCTCAACGTAGACGAGTCCTTCCATGAGGTCGTCCGAGCCATCAGGTATGGGGGGCGGCTCTGACCAAGGCACCCGATAAAATAGGGGAGAGTGCGCTGCAGGATGTCTCGCCAGGGAGACCCACACTGTGGGGTGATATTTCCCCCCCAGGGTTGTCCCCCCCACCCCCATGGGGGTAGATTCCTACCAAACTTCCTGTGAGATCCCTCCAAACGGGGGTTCAGTCCCCCTGACGCCCCCCCTTAACTCTCAGTGAATTCCCTGGGGAACCATCAGCCCCCCCCCCCCGCAATGGGGCATGTCCCCTATTGTGGTAACATGGGGTTTGACTCCCTCAGGGATACCCCCAAAACAGCAGTTCCCCTCCCAGTACCCCCAGAAGGGGCACCGCCCCCAGTTTGGGCTCCGTTCCTAAGTGTCTCCCCCCTTCTCTCTTGCAGGAGGTTCCAGGAGCTGGAAACCCCCCCTGCTCCTACTGTGCACCCCACAACTAAAGAGTCCAATGGCTGCCCCTGCTGCATCCTGTGATGGGGGCCCCCCAACACTCACCCAGCTGTGCAAGATGGGGGGAGGGGCGGTATAGTCCATCAGTGTTTGTACATATCTATAAATAGGGGAGGCAGAGGATGGGGAGCCCAGGTGATATTTTGGGGGACAGAGAAAGGGGGTGGTTCCCCCCTGGTCTGTAGGGGTTGGGCAGTGGTCACCCTGCATTATGGGGTCAGGGGGTAGCAGCTCCCCTCAAAGATGTGGGGTGGCAGGGTGGGGGCCCCATGACAGACAGCCTGTGGCTGGAGAGTTTGTGGGGTCTCAGTCCAAGTGCCCCCCTGTGGGCACTTTGCCCCCCACCATTGTACGGGGGTGGGGGCACAAAGCCAGGCCCCCTTTCAGTTGGGGAAAGGAGAAATGTGAGACTCCCCTTAAGGTACCGTGGGTGGTGGAGGTGCTGCCCCCCCCTCCGCAAGGAGGGGGGAGGGGCCCCCAAAGGGTGGGGCCCCTTCCGAAAGGTTGGTCTTTTCTACGCAAAACAAAGCTTTATTGGGAGAGGGGACCCCGGCGTCCGGGGTGGGGGGCACGCTGCATTCTGTAGCCCGATCCTGCACGAGGATTGGGGCTGGGGGGGTGTCTGTATAAACATGGCTAGTTACCTCACTGCTATTTCTCTGCACTGCTTTGGGGGCGGGGGCACAGCTCGTCTCCCTCCCAAGGGGATGGGGGGGG